AAGCAATGCAGCTGTTATTTTTCTCTCTTTTTCCCTATTATTTTGGTGATATTTTGTTTTGTTTTTTCCTAATGAGCGAATTATGAGACTTTTGTTTGCTTTCTCCTGCTTTCACTTTGTGTGTTGGCCTTTGAAATGTTTTTCTTTTGCGGCCGCCGGGCTGAAAAGGAAGTTTTGTACGCTAATTAAAAAGGTCAACACACAAATGACAGGATGGAACGTTAAGAAAAAAAAGAACGAGGACAGGTGATGGCGATAGGAAGAGGAGTGTTAGGGGGAATTCACAGGTGAGAGGTAAACAGCGGCGAATTAAGCTCACACAAATTGCGTCACTTTAACGAGTCGGCAGACGGCAGTTACCAGTCACCAGTTGCCTCTGTTAACTGTTACTTGTTACCTGTTCGGTTACCTGGTGAGTTAACTGTGCTTGTTGGGTGGTTGTAGGTGTTGGTCTTTCCACAGGACCTCCTGCTGATTCAATTCGCCTCAATTCATGTTGAAAATCGCGTCAACGTAAAAACAGAAACGCAGCTCATTTGCACTAGAAAAAATTCCAAGGTTTTTATATTCTATTTGTATTTATTTCCTCATATTTTCTATGAAAAATTCTTGTTATTTTCTATCAAAAAATAAGCGAAATAGTCTGCAGAAAAATATCAAATAATTTATTATCAGTGTGTTAAGTACACTGCCTGGAAAAAAAATACAAAAGTGTTGCCCAAAATGCGAGGCTGTCAGTAAAGTACCTAGCATTTCTCCATCCCTCCTGACCCTGGGTTGTTAACATATTTCGTTCGATGAGGGTACAGCGGAGAGGGTAGTGGCATGGGGGTGGTGCACGGACCCCCAAAGCAGAAGCACGCCCTCGGATGTACCACCTGTGGGTTGTCATACGAAAGGCAAATTTTAATGCCAACATTGCCAGGTAAACGGCATATGTGTGTGGCAGTGTGTGCGCTAGTGTGGGTGTGTGTGTGTGGCAGGCAACCAAGCGTATAAGCCAGGCCAAAAGAGAGGTAGCAGGAAAAAAAAGGGAGAGAGGGGGGTCAGGACCAAGGGGACAAAGGCACCCACGCATGACACTGTATCCAGGCACTCAGACACACAGCTTTAGAGCCAATTGTGCGATTTGTTTATATGTATGTGTGTGTGTGTGTTTGTAATTTATACAGAGACATGGCAGAGAATTTGTAAAAAGGGGATCCTTTCTGCCAATAAACTTTCAAGCCTAAAATTTGAGCTATTATATTTAAATAATACTTTTCCTTGAAACCCCTTTCTGCCCTTCGCCTCTGATATCATTATTGGCAGCTTAAGCAGCTCACAAACACACACACATAATACCTACATATATGAGAAGACGAAAAACAAGTCACAAAAAAATATTAACAACTTATTCCTTTTGATTTTTTATTGGGCCATGGGCTGTTGCCACGCTTATTCAGCTAGAATTCACTTTCGATGTGTGTCTGTATATATATACCTATATCTGTATATATATTTTATCAGTTATATATATAGGGCTGTGTCAGAATGGAGCTTAGCTGTGTAGCATTTAAGGCCTATGACCTTTTTTTTGGGGCCTTGTAGGACTGGAAATGGTCAGTCCATTAGAAGCATAACTGGTGGGAAGTTGTTTTCCGGGAGATTAGTTAGAAAAATGGGGAAGAGTTTAGATATTTTTAGGAAGAAGTTTATTTTAAAGAAGCATAATTGAAAATTAAATATATAATATAAGAAATGAGAGAAAAGATCAAAGCTCTCTAATACTTAGTATTTCTTAAATGGATTATTTTTTAATTTTTTTCTTTCTGAGTTCTATAGGCTTTCATTTTCCTCAATAAAAACAAAAAACTATTTAAACTCCACCTTAAAAACACCATTAAATATCACTCAACTTGAAAGTCTGCACTTAATTCAATTCCATTTAATTTTGTCACCAAAAACAGACAACCTGGCCTGCCCTGCTCCCTGAACTCCCTGCAAGGGATATGTACTTGGAGCCCTTAGTTCTGCTCCATCATGCATATATATGCGCTCATTTCACGCCTCGTGTTAATGGCTTTATACTGGCGTACACAAACAGGCTTACACTTATGACGCGGGGTGTCGAATAAACCGAAAAACAACAAGCCATCCGAAGGCAAGCCATCCGAACCAAGGAAGCATGAAAATTAATGATATTTTAATGTAAAAACAATACCAGCCACTTAAGCCACACATACAAATGTGTGTTATTGTGTGTGTGTCTCTAAGTGGGTATGTGTGTGTGTGTGTTTTTCAATTTTTAGGGGATCTGATGGAGAACAAAACCAAAAAAAAGGAAAAACTCCGGCGTTACTGAAGCCGTAAGCCGTAAGCCATAAGCCTCACGCTGATGAGTTAGCAACCCCTATACGAAAAATCCCCAAAAAATATTCCCCCCTTTTTTGACGCGTTTTTTTTTATATTTTATTTTTATATTTGAATACAAGGGGGCGTATACGCAATTTTACAAACGAACGAACGAACGAGCGAGTATATTAAATTTCACGTAGTTTCCCACACAAAGCAACTACAAAAATCAAATTATTACTTCGTATATGAATTCTTTGTTTATTTTTTATATATTTTTTTTTGTCTACCCTCCCCCTTGCAACAAGGTAGCTAAAAAATATATAAAAAATAAATATGAATGATGGCTGTCCTGTCAGAAGAATACATTTCAAGGCTGTAATTGTTTGCTCTACAGAGGCTCTGGCCCCATCCCAGTCTCTTTCTCTTTCTCTCTTTGTGTCTCTGTCTCTTTCCCTTTTTTTGTATTTCCATCTCTGTTTGACGCTGCCTTGTTTGCCCGACCGAGTCTTTTGTTAAACGAAATTGAAGTTGAAGCTTTGTGGTGCATTATCCTGAGTATAGCCTACGGGAGAACCTTTCTAAAAAATATACATATACTGTATAAAATATAAAAAATATAATCAGAGAAAAGAGAAGGCGACAGAGCTGCTAAAAGGGATAGAGATGGGAGATAGACAAGTCCTGCCAATTACAAATGGAAAATGCAAATTGCAAATAACAAGGAAACGTGCTACATTCCAGTTTCTAGATTGCAATTTGCAAACTAAAAATCAATATTGATGTATACATTTATATTAATAATGCCTTATTGTTGCATTTATTATGTTGCCCTGATTTTCCAGAGATTTCTGGGATATTTTAGGATAAATTATTGATGTTTCTTTTCATTAAACATCCTCCGTCAGACACCTGAGGCTGCCTTCAGTTGCAAAACTTTATCTGAATATCCTGGCTTTGAGTTTCTCCAGGTTCTGGGGATTTCTGAGATTTCATGAAAACTTCACTCATAAGTGTAATTAAATTTACGCACCGAGATGAAGGCCCTGGAGGCTAAAGTTAACCTGATACAGGCAGAGAAATAAATGAGTTTCTTAAAAGAAAATTCTTTTAAACTTTTGGTTGGAGGTTGGAGGAAAGATTTTTAAAGGCCATGAAAAAGGTTTATAGGTGAACCTTTTTATGTGAAATCACAGTAAAATATATAAATTTTTTGAGTGTAACTTTTCCTTCAGTTTCAAACACAGACTCTTCCCTCAGAAGGATATTTTTGTGTCAGTTGTTGATTCTGTAGAGCCTTCAAAAGACGCTTTGAAATGTTCACGCCGATAAAATCAAAGACCAAGAAAGGCCCCGACATACAATATACAAATAAATTTATATAAATGTATACATATTTATTGGTTGAGTGAGGCTTTAGCGGATTAAATAGAAAATAGGACTTGGCAGTTGTTTTTGCTTCACAGATTTCCTGTTAATTCACTTTGGCGCGACTAAACAAATTAATTGCTGACAGCTTTTTTTTTTTTCTCCGACCCCTGCCTAGAACGGCAATCCAACTAAATATATACATCAGAGTTGATATATATATTTGTGTTTTCTTTTTCTACAAGCCTGAAAAGGTAAATATGCACATAAATTAAGCCAGGATGTGGAAACGGAAACGAAATCGGAATCAGAATCAGAATCGGAATCGAAGTTTCCGGCTGCTTGAATGCCCAACGATTCAATTAAATGTTCCCCCAAAAAGCTAATCAGGCGCAAAAAACAAAATTGTTTCGATTGACCCATGACTTTCCAACAGAAAAAAATAAATATACATATATAATAAATATAGTATATCGGAGTAACCTTTGAAGATGAGAGAGCACGTCAAATTTATGACCACGTTTTGCGGTTAAGCAGTAGTTGGTCCGACAACTTAACTTTCGAGCCACTGGAGATGACAGCTCAGGTTAACCTTAGTTACAGAAACGGATACAAGTTTTAAGATTCAGGATAAAGATACTGGGATACTGGATAGCAGTTGAAAAACTTTGTAATTTTTTTTGTTACTTTTGGGGTGTGGGCCGAAAACCATTCACTTTGGCGGGCTTGTCAGAACCATTTGCCAAAGTGCAATCGAACGAAGCCAAAGGTAATTGTAATTAATTTTGGCCACAACCTCCTGAAACTGAAATGGCAACAAAGTGGAAACAAGCAACAGAATACAAAAAAAAAAAAGTACAGAAAACCGCCAATCCAATTGTTGGGTTAATAGTTTTGGATTTCATTCTCATTCGGTTTTTATTATTTGTTCAAGGCAAATTGAATCAGTTGCAGTCAGCCCGCCTCTGACTGGCTTCGAGTATTTTGGCCAAAAGCAAATAAACTGCCACAACTGGCAATGCAAATTATTTTTCCGGGCCAAGTGAACAGCAGGTGGATATGTAAGCTAGAGTAAATACAAAATATTTTGTCTCAATCAAGGCTATTGCGATTTATGAACTATTTGCTTGAAAAGACTTGGAAGTCATTTCCAATATTATTAGCTTTGATGAACAAATATTTAAATGGGAAAGCTCAGTCTCAGTCCTAAGGGGGACTTCTTAATAGCCTCTATATTCTTAAAAAAAATGGTATAATATCTTGTACTCATGGTGGTATCCCCATAAAAAACACAAACCTTTTCAGTCAGTCTGCCTTAAAATTTACTTTGAATTTGTCAAATAGATTCAAAACAAGACTGCCTTTCTAGACTTATGTCCTAGTAGGCATCCCGTTGGCGTAATCTACGCTTCTTGTCCTTCTTCTCCAGATATTCCAGTAGAGTGGCCTTGGTGGGGACCGTCAATATAATCGGCAGCATTTGATTGCAACGCGCAATCAAGTTCTTCAATCTCTTGGTCGTGTTGTGGTCTATCATGACGATGCCCATATTCGTTTTTCTATACAGGGAGAGAAAGAAGTTCTCTAGCTCGTCCTGTGGAGTGTCTGCAGGATATTCCAAACATATAGGTTCTAGGAATAGAAGCAAAGTAAAAGAATACCAACCAATATCCACCATTAAGTAGCTACGAAACTTTTCGCGATGATAACCAATGCCAGCTAATAGAAAGCCCAAAGTTAGTTCCTGAAATTTAATATTTTAGGATTATTAAGGAGTCTTTGATTATATGGATACTCACAGAATCAGCCATTATTCCAAGACGCAGTATGTTTGGATCTTCTACTATCGTCACGGGCTGGAGATCCACATCTTCGCCCGCACCCTCATTATCCGATCCGGAGGAGTCCCGATCCTTGTTCCGATTTTGGATGACCACCTCGCCTTCATCGTGGGCCCGGGACTTCTTTTTGGCTTGGGCAGCAGGCAGCTTGTTTGCCGCCGGACGATGTGGAGGTTCATCCGGCTTACTCATCCTTAAGATATTACAAGTAAATATAGAATTTACTTGTGAGGTTTAACCTGAAAGGGAATTTTGAATTTGGTTGATTTTAGAATCAAAGCTTTAGTATTATTTTTAGAGTTAAGAAATGAGGGACTATAACATACCTGATCCTTTGGATGTTCCTGGTGCCTGGCCTGGTTTTGGCCACCTAATGCTTACCCAGAACTGGCAAGAACAATGCTTTATTTTTACAACTTTTTAATGAGTTTCCAATAAAGGAGGCTCCACACAAAAACCCCCCAAATTGCGGCAGCTTAAGTCATAAGCCGTCGCCCAAGAAATACTCTCAGGCTCAGGACGAAATTAGTTTCCTTTTTTTTGTCATTTTATTTTTTAATTATTCAGTTTTTGAGGGGCTTTTGGGCGTGTGGGTGGCTTCGGGCCGTTCTCTCAGCCAAATGAAGCCCGAAATGGAAATTCAATTATGTCACGGGTGTGTAGAGTCTTTAAAAGATTGAAGCATAATCCAGAGAAAATCCTCTTAATACTTCGATTTCCATTTCCAATAATCTCCAGCCCAGAGCTCATCATGATTATTTTGTATAGTTGGTGTTGATTTAATTGATCCAGGACGGGCTGTCGGGCTTATGAATCATGCTAGTGAGATGCAATTTTAAAGACACAGAGTGCGAAGCTTAGGCTTAAGCAGGATAACCATAAGGCCACCGAATCCCCACCCCGAACCAGCCTCAAAATCCATGTGTTATATCCTGTTGGCAATTGCCAGAGCAAACATTCGAGTCCTGTTCTGTACTGGTCCTTGTGGCATGTCCGACAATCAGAGAAATTATTGTGTTAGAGACTGAATAATGCGTTAACCATGACATGGCCAACAAAGGATATTCTCCAAACACACATACAAACAGACATAGAGATACTGACACGAGTATCTGTGCATGAATGTGTTGCATTTGACGATTCGATTCGACGAGTGAGGTATCCCAGGGATATGTCTAGTTGGTTTTAGCCTCAGCATTCCTCGAATCCCGCAACTGGTCGAAACGGAAACCCGAATACCAGAAATTCCTGCACAGCTCCCATGCGAGCATTTGATTTCCAAATGCCAGTAGTCCTGCCAGGATCAGGACCAGAAGTCCATTGCCGGAATACTCTATTAGGAGATGGTATTTCTCAAATTGCCTTTATTATTAAATAGTTTCAAGGCTAGGAAAAAAATTACTTACTTTATTTATTAAAAATTTTATAACAAACCTCCCCATCAAACATAGTACTCCTTTAATGTTTTAAATTAATTAATTTCCATTCTGGGCATAACTGGGCAAGTGTCTATTCTTGATTCGATTTGTGAAACATCAAGTTGATTATGAGCTTAAATGCCCTTTGTTTGTGGCAATGAATCGAAAACAAGTTTCACTTAATCAGGCATTGCTGATTGGGACGAGAAATTCTCATTAAGAGCGTGTCTGGCCAGGACCAGAGAGTCCTTGGCCATGCGGCTTTTGATGGTAAAAATAAAAAAAAAAGAAAAGAGTTAAGCCTTCATCAAAAAGACACACACACACTAAGAGAGAGAGAGAGCGAGCGAAAGAGAAGGTAGGTTGCAACAGTTGCTCCGGCTGTTGCATGTCCTTGTGGCATCCTGCCAGTCCTTGCAACGCATCCACCCACAAAGGCTGTGCAAGTTTAATAACAGCACAAATTGCGTAAGCCGCCAAAAACCATTAATAACTTTTGTGCACCTGCAGAAGAGGACAGAAGGAGTGACGGCAACCATACAAGAAAGAGAGCGAAACAAGATTTTTCATCCAAGGCGTAGCATACAGGGCGTATGCTTGATATCTGGCAGCAGCTGTTTACCGTTTATTCCTGCTCTCCTTCTCCTTCTCCTGAGATGAAAGTGACTGTGTGTGTTTGTTGATTGCATGTGTGTGTGCACTTTCTTTCTGTGGCCCCTGCTGCCTTTTAATTATTGATTCCCAGCCCATTGAAGTGATTAATATTTTCCGAGCAGCCAAATCGTTGCCGCCGGACAACGTCCACAGCCAGAGCCAGAGCCAGATCCAGAATTCGAAACGAGTGGTAGAAATGGTTGGAAAATATACGGGAAAAGCCCCAACGATTGCCACCAATTGTTTTATTTCCCTCTATAATTGCATTTTCTTGTTCTCTCTCTCAGTGTGTGTGTGTTTCTGTGTGTTTGGTAGTGTTTGGTAGTGGTTGGGCTGAAAGGGGTCGCAGGAGACCCCCTCACGAGTGGCCAGTAGGGAGCAGGTTAAATGCCAGTAATTAAAAATCATGCTTGATAATGTTGAGCATCTGGCTGGCATTGAATTGTAGCCTCAAAAAATATATAGTATATATAGTTGTGTCTCTTTGTGTCATTAAGGTTGAGTCTTGAATAAAAAGAGCCACATGGAACAGGCTTAATTATTTCAAACAAGCCGATCCATCATCTAACAAATACAATTTGCTCTTCGAATGACATCTGCAGGCAATCACAGACCTAGGGCTAGCGGGGCTGGAACATACATACATATATCTAAAGTTATTTATTTCTAATAAAAATACTTGATAATAAAGACTTTTTATTTATAAGATTTAAATGCCTTTTTTTTACCCCAAATATATATTTTTTTGATTTTTCTAATACCATTTTATTTCCTATCCATAATTTAGTTTCCAATTCTTTCGGGATATACATATGAACATCCCTAATTCCAGGCCCACCCTTATCCATATGTAAGTGTGTGTGCAAAATTCTGGATGTGTGTGTTTGTGTATTGGTGTGCTCGTTTCGGGGCAGGGCAAAAGGCATCAATCTTCCTCCATCATTGTCAGTGGCCGATGACGATGACGATGACGAAACAAGAGCGGTAGCAGCATCCAGCATCCAGGATCCCGGATCCAGCATCCTGAAAAACCTGCCGCGTATATCCTGGCTCCTGACCCCCATGGCGGCTATATGGTGTTTCCCATTCGCAATTCTCATTTCCGCAGGAGGTGGCTTCACAAAGTAAATGAAATATCATCGCCCGCCTGTCATTTCATAATTTTCAAAAAGCAAAACCAAATAATGCGTATATATGTATACCGTTACATTATATACACATATGAGTGTGTGTGGGTTTGTAATTCGCCAATCAAGCTGCCACCCATAATAAATTAATTATTTATTTGCCATCCACATCAATATTATTTAATAAATTTTTATTTGGTTGGCAGGATGGTGGCAGGTGGAATAAAGGGAATAATATTCATGAAAATTGATGATGTATATTTTTGTAATTACTCTCCAAAAATGTAATACTATAGTATCCTCTGTTTAAATCCAAAAAAAAGGTATCCTTTCCATTCCCAGTCATAATTCTAATGCAATAACTCACTCATCTCTGTGTTGGATGCATAAACAAATTGAAAAACTTTTTCCCAACCAACTTTCACTTTGCACTTTCTTCTTTTTTATTTTTTATTTTTTTATTCCACTTCCTGGTTTATTTTTTGTTTCTCCGAAAGCATTGCCCTGGGCGACCGCAAGGGAAAGCTGTCTCTACACTTTCTCCTAACATGGGTGGACCAAAGTGAAGACTTTCCTTCCAAAAACAACTTGTATTTGAACAGTTTTACGTTAAAAGTTTTTCACAACCAGTTGGTAAGTGGCTGTGCGTCTGTGTGGGTGAGTGTGTTTGAAGAGGAGAAAACCACAGGAAGAAAAAAGGACATTTCAAGATGAGGGTCTAAATCCTAGTAGTTTCTGGACATTCATTTTGTTTTCAATTTCCTTATGACGGATTCCCCACTAAATCGCCAGCTCAACTTAAGTGAAATCATAAAAAAAAATTCGTTATAAATAAAACAGATGCGTCTTAAATAAACAACAAAAACAATACTAAAAAATAAAAATCCAGATGAAAGTTTTCCGGAAGGAAAGCGAGAGAGAGTGGAATCTGTGTTTACCTGAAAAACAATGGAAGCCAAAGTAAATTCCGAAGCAACAAAACATACAGGCAACTCAAATTTTAGACAGTTTATTAAGTTTTCCAGGGAAACTTTTACCACCAGACGACAGTCTGTCTCTTTCATTATGTTCGCCCCGTCTCTTTCGGTCGCTTAATTTAGCTTCGAAATTGTGGCAGAAGACAAAAGTTTTTCTGGTTTTTTCCCCAACATCGTTGGAAAAGTTTTTTGGGAATCACTTTCGCTTCGTTTGACTTCAAGTTCAAGTGAAAATTATTCCAAGAATTTTTTCAAAAATTTGTATTCATTTTTTTGAAAATAAAATTAGTACTTAAGATTAGGGCACTGCTGGGATGGATAGTTCCTCTGCTGGGAACTTCAAAAAACAACCCTTGACCCTTGACTATATGTTTGTTTCCCGAACTCATGGCTTTTTATACTTTTATAGAATTTTCTTTATAAATACCCCACTTAAAAAAATAACTGATGAATTATATTAAAGAGCTGTCAAATAAGTGCCAAAAATAAAAAGTAAATTGGATCTGGCATTAAAATGCAACTCACACAGAGGTGGAGCTGGAGAAAAGCTAATTGAATTGTGTGCCAGGCTCTGGCTTAATATTTTGCATTTTTTTTTTGTGCCACATTTCATTTAATTTCTAGCCCTGTGGCTAGAGTTTCAGGACTCACTGTGCGGCAGGCACCTTAGCTCACCTGACACGGCAACATTTTAACATTTTTGTATGTAATTTGAAATTTTGTTTACGCTGGAGCTTGGGCCGCAG